ATAATCTCGAGTTTGGTATGTTTTTATTTCTCACATCACATACCTATAAAAAAATATTTAAAGTTAAGAAATAAGCCTAATGCGATGTTTTTTTGTTTTTTGGGTAGTATAAAAAGATAATATTAAAAGATATTTTACACTCTAAAAAATAGGAATTAAGTAGAAAATTTGAAATATATAAATTCCGCCAAAAAGTATAGCTTATGTTTTTTTGGATTGTATATTATGAGAGCATTATTTATCTTTGAAACAAGGTGACCACAATTACTCGTACCCATTAGATGTCAAATTGGAGGGCTTAGTGTGAGTCACGAAGTTTGCTATTTTTTTTTTTTTTAAAAAAACTTTGAGTTTAGCCGATGATAATATTCAAATGAGTTTAGCGAATGACATTCTTACAACAGTGCAATTTAAAATCTCAGGGGCATGGGTGATTGTGATATCAGTTGTTCAAATAAAGCTAGTGGGCTTCCGGCCAATTTATTGCCCATTGTAATGGGCTCAGAACTATGACTGTGCTCCTGCCGTGGTGGCCCTTTATGCATGTGAATTAGTGGGGCATAAGCCCCCTCTTACTTAACTTCTTCATGTGGAAAATTGGGGTAACGTCTATGAATCAACGGTCACGATTTTATGAGTCAAGTATAAAAGAATGGCGACGATTTAATCCTGCACATCATTGGACCATTAAAGCCGTCTATCCACTAAGTACTTCACAAACCTTTCCATGAGATAGTTTATTAGAGAAGAAACATAGGTTCCCTCGCCCCATGAAATATTGACCTTGTACTTTGTGTTTCGGGCACTATTTAAAACCCTCGCTCGGGAACCCGAACCGGTTACTAGCCGGTTCTGCGCCAGGTAGACTTAGCGAGCCGACCGGTCTGTACTAAAAAAAAAAAAAAAAAAACAAAGAGCAAAAATAAAATAAAATGGATGGCCTAAAAGAGAGAAAAGCACATTATAAATTAAGTATTTGAAATAGAAAATTGATTTCATTTTGGGTATCTGAATGGATACCATCTAGTTCCAACTCGGTGAGCGGAACTGTCTAAACGGTTCGTATTAAAAACAGAGCAAAACAAAAAAAAAATGAAATAAAAAGATGGCCAAAAAGAGAGAAACACATTAGAATTCACGTATTTGGAAATATATAATTGATTTCATTTCGGGTACCCGAACTAGGTACCAACCGTTTCCCAGTCAAACGAGTAGACTCAGTGAACCGAATTATCTGATTGGTTTGTACTTAAAAACAGAAAAGAGAACGAAAAAATAAAGAAAACGATGGCCAAAAAGAGAGAAAAGCACATTACAAATCAAGTATCTGAAATATAAAATTGATTTCATTGTACCGGAAGCGAAATCAAAATCTACAAATCACAAAAAAAAACAAACAAGGAGGAAAGGAAAACACCCAAAATTTTGATTGAAAAAATGCCAAAATTGGTTTTGATAAAAAAAATTTGTTTAGATCTTTTATAGACCAATGTAATAAGAGCATTTTGGTACATATTTGAATGAATTTGGTGAAAGATGGGCGAGAAATCGAAGATTTTATTTCAAGGTAAAAAAACCCTTGAAATTTAAAAAGTAGATTTCTTTTATTTTGGTTTTTATACGACAAAATGATATAGGGGTTTGATGGAAGTCTCAAATATGAATCTTTTGAGATAAATTTGAATTTTTTTGTTTAACAATAAAGGGAAAAATCGGAAGAAAGGCTTACAGGAATTATAAGGTTGAACAATCATGAAATTTGGATGAGATAACCTCGTCAAAATCTCAAACAGATCCAAATAATCTTGTTCTAGATAAAAAAAAGGGGCATTCAACAATCGGTTTTGGGGTTTAAATGGATCATTGAACAAAAAAAGGTAAAATATAGACCTAAAAATCGATTTTGGAGGTTTGAAATGGTATTTTCTCTAGTTTTTTTTTAAGGGCACGGGGAGACTCGCCCGAGTTTGAGTGGGACGCGAACTAGTAACCTTTGAATTGGCAGGTTCCAAGTCGACTTGCAGATTTTTCTCTCAAGAATGGGTATGCATCACTATGCTAGCATTGAGTTTCAACAATATTCAATCATCTCCATGTTAAGAGTCTAACGGTTGGGGTGTCTCTTTTAACTCAATTACATAATTTTACCTACGGGAGAAGTGCGAGAAATGGCTTGAAACACAAATTCCATCATAGATGACTTTCCTTATTTCAGATTTCATTTATTTATTTTTACGTTTTGTCGGTGATATAAAAAAGCCAAGTCGGCATAAAATTGTTTGGTTCGACTCGAAAAACGGTCACCCCGTGCCGATTCTATCAATTTATAAATCGTCTTAAGAAGAAAATAAGCGATTCGCTACAATAAAATGGTGTTTTGCTACAGTAAAAGTATCAATTCACCGATCCGGACAGGTTCACTATTTTTGCATGTATTTTTTTGCTGGTTCACTATTTTTTCTGCACATTAAACGGCGATCTAAACTTCCCGATTCATCGATCAAAACTAGATTTTGCGATACTCGATACGGTCACCGATCCGTTTTTTAAAACCGTTCGTTTTGTGTTTAGACATGCTTGGACAATTTCATGGTGACCGTTGGATAACGACCCCATGATGCGGCAACATGTGGTGGGGCCAACCCATCCCAGCCTTAAAATGGCGTTGGAGAGAGAAAATTCGACCGGCCATCCATGGTACAATGGCCCAACAAAGCCTCCTAAATTCAGCCTCCTCCTCAATCCTCTCTCTCTCTCTCTGTAACCTCCTAAATTCGGCCTCTCTCTCTCCAAATTACAGCCCACATCGTCGCTGGCAAAAGAGTCCCTCTCCCCACCTTATTTCCCCTCCATTTCCTCCCCCCAAAGTCCACAGACCATGACTACAAACATGAAATCATGAAACTTTAGTTGTTACAGGGACCTCCTTTTGGGGGTGGTGCCAAGCCTGAATCCCGTTTCCCCACCTCTCTCTCTCTCTTTCTCTCTCTCCAATTCTCCATATCAGGGGACCTTCAGGTTGTGGTGTTCTTGCTCCGGACACTAAGGCTTCCGTGCTTTCATTTTCGGATTTTTATTTGTGATTATTGGTTTCTCGACTTTAATTAGTTGAGAAAAGGCTTTGACAATGATGATCATACCTGATTATTGATTTATATAAAGAGTCATTGGTGAATTGTAGTTTCATGACAGCTGCCATGGGTGTCATGAAAAAAGAAACTCGTTTCTCAATTGAATTGTTACACTCGGGTTCTGATCTCCAGGAACCCGAAGTCGACTATGAGATTGGGTGGCCCTTCGGGAAGGTTGACCTGGGGCCAGAAGACCTCCGGGAGACGGCATATGAGATACTTTTCGCGGCATGTAGGCCGTTCCCTGGGTTTGGTGGCCGGAGCCCTCTAACTTACATTCCTCAATCAGAGAACACAGATGCTGGAATTGGTTCTAGGATGGGCTTGGGCCTTGTCGCCACAAGCCGGATAAAGAAAGCGCTCGGGCTGCGGACAAAGAGGACCTCTCCGAAGAGAGGGGGTGTACCAAACAGTCCCACGTCCACTGCGAGGCCGAGGCAGCAGCCGTTCACCATTGCAGAGTTGATGAGACAGCAGATGAAGGTGTCTGAGCAGGGCCTGGCCAGGTTGAAGAAGGCCCTAGTGAGGATACAAGTTGGCCAGGTTTTATTTTATTTATTATTTTTAATTAATTGTCATTTACTTTGAAAGTAATTTGTTTCATATCATTCCATTTAAGGCAAATTATTCCATTTTAATTAGGAAACTTGTTGGGTAGAATGGGCGGAGGTTTTCAGTGAGGGTGAGGTTTGTATAAGGTTTCGGCCTTCTACTATTGAAGCAAGGTGCACCTCAAAACTATATGCTCAAATGCACGCCACAAAGTTTTGCAATGATACGAAAACCTATCGTTGCTCTCAATTATGAAATTTAAAGTTTTAAAAAGGGTGATAATCAAGAATCTTGAAAATTGATGGTCCAAATAATGTGTTAGAAGATAGACTGATTTTAGGATTAGAAACCCCCTTTTTCAATGTATAAGAATCTAGAAGTCGATTTTTGGGTTTTTCAAGATAAAAATAACCTTCTCTAATGGGCTTTTTAGGTGCACCTTACTCGTATAGTATAAGGTTGACACCCTATATAAATTTTTTCTTTTCAGTAATGGACCCGGATTTGGTGAGTCAGCCCGAGTCTTCTTTATGGATGGATGGTGGAAAAAAAAAGAATAAAAACCTTAGTTTTATTTTTTCAAAAGAAAATCTAAATTCATGATCAAAGTTATGGATGAGATTAACCAACTCTAAAACTTTGAATGTCCAAAAGAAGGGGAAAAAAAAGGGAAGAAAAAAAAATCTCTAAAATTTTGCATCCATTGATCATGGAGGCGAGATGCACACGAATAGGTCATAATGACCATTAACTATTAACTATAAGATGTACAATTGGGCAGATTAGGATATTTTATTAATTAGGAATAAAGTCTAAATAAATTTTTTTGAATATTTTGATGCACTTCAAGTTATAGGATTTCACATACTTGTACCAAAGAAGAATGATCTTGTAATATAAAATCACTAAAGAAAAACACCTAGTTATTATATTTTGTGTTATGAGGATTCGCCTCATTTAGGCACTTATTCAAACTTATATTTCTGCTTTTTTCTTTTTATTTTCTTTAATTAGAATGAAATTTATCATTTATTTTTTTTTTATGTAGGTTATTTCATTTTAGGATTGGAACACTTTTGTGGCTCTAGGGGATGCAATATCATTTATGGTCTAATCATTTAAACCTATTGGGAATTTATTAAAATGGTTTTACATATGTTTATAAATAACGAGGAATCCATAATCTAGGAACTTAAATGTACTCATTTTATTTTCTGCCTTTTACTAGTTTTCATTTATTCCGAAAACATTTTGTCATTTGCTTTATTTTTTTGAGGTAAATTGTTACATTTGGATGGGGACTCTCGGTTGGTGGTTAGGACTTCGGACGTTAGGCGATGCAATACCACGTCTAAGGTTCGCATGATATTCTTCCCTTAAAAAAAAAAAGAAAAAAAAATGTATAATATATTATGTTACATTAGTAAAAAGAGCATGTCAGCTCATAGGCTGATACAATAGTATGGGCTCAATGGTTCATATTTAATTTGGACCAATCCGTTAGTCACAATTGTGTTTCATCTTTAAATTTTAATTTTGTTTTTTCCACATAACTAAATCACTTGTTTATAGTGTCTACAATGAAAACCAAGCACACCAAATAAAATATTTTTAAAAAATAAATTAGCCAAAATATCTTTGGGAGCATTTTGATTAATTTATTTTTTAATATTTTATTGGGTTCGTTTTAATGAGAAGAGTTGATGCTCCAAATTTCAAATGATTTGGATATTTATAAAAAAATTAAAATTAAAATACAAAATACAATTCTAATCGTTGAATCAACCTAAATTCAATTTGGGCAATTGGATATTTATTGTAGCTGTCAGCTACTAGGTGCACCTCAGGGGTTTCACATTCCATTATGTTATATATTTTTAAATATTTATTTATTTTTATTGTATTATTATGATGAAGATGCTCCTCATCTTAGTACTTAAATGTCGCATTTGAGTGAAATTTTCCAAATAAAGGTCACAATGACAATTGCCTTCCAATTGAGTTATAATTAAACCCAATCTTAGTTTTCAATGCAAATATATTTTATACGGAAAATGCAGGATTTAAAGTTCTGGTATCTTTTTTGTAGCTTTGTTCTTCTTCTCTTACGAAGGTGTCGATTACGATACCATATATGTTAAAAAGTACTTGTGATCGTAAAATGTCAAATTGGATGGTTGGGCTGTGTTTTGAGAAATGTTTTTGAACTTCGCATCTTGGGCTGTGTTTTGAGAGATGTTTTTGAACTTTGCATCTAGTCGATAATAGCCTCGCAACTATCCAATTGATGGAAAAGAGTATAAAAAAAAATACAAAAAAAATAAAAAGCCTTTTTATATATTTTTTTCAAAACAAAAAATGAAAAAAAAAGAAAAAAAACTCGAAGAGGGGTAACCTGCCGGAGCATACTCCATGCATGTTGCTAATGAAAAAGTGTTTCCTTGTAACTCTTGTCTACAAACTCACAGACAAGGAGGCCAGAGGCTATCTTCCTGCCCCTAGAGCTCCTCCGCCAGCTGAGGCCCTCCGAATTCAACGACCTCCAGGAGTACCACCTGTGGCAGCGCCGCCAGCTGCGCATCCTCGAGGCCGGCCTCATCCTCCACCCGTCGGTCCCTCTTGACCGCTCCACCCCGGCAGCTCAACGTCTCCGCGACTTTGTGCGTTCTGCGGACTCCAAGCCCCTGGACACCTCCAAGTCCTCAGACTCCATGCGTGTCCTCTGCAACTCTGCGGTCTCGCTGGCATGGCGAAATCCTTCCTCAGATAGTTGTCATTGGGCTGATGGCTGCCCCCTGAATCTCCACCTTTATTTTTCCCTCCTCTTATCGTGTTTCGACATAAAGGAACCGACTCTGGTGCTCGATGAGCTCGATGAGATATTCGACCACATGAAGAAGACATGGGCGATCCTGGCAATCTCGCGCCCCGCTCATAACCTCTTGTTTGCATGGGCATTGTTTCGACAGTTTGTCTGCACCGGGCAGAATGAGCACAACCTCTTGTCTGCAGCGCTCACCGTGCTATCTGACGTTGCTGCTGATGCTCGCCGAGCTGTCATAGCGGGGGAGGTGGCGTACCTGCGGGTGGCAGCATCGGTGCTCGCCTGCATGCAGATATGGGCTGAGCGCTGGCTCCTGGACTATCACTTTAGCTTTGAGCGCAGTCCACCAGGGCTCATGGAGAGCGTGCTCCCTCTTGCCCTCTCAGCTGCCAAGATCCTGGATGAGGAACTCCGTGAGAAGACACAAGGAGACTCTGCCGGTTTTCTAGTTGATCGATACGTTCGTGCCTCTGCTCGGGGTGCATTCAACAGGGTTTTACAGGGCAATGCTCTGAGCAACATGGCATGCAACGGGGAGAAGGGCGCGGCGGAGGCACTTATATTGTTGTCCAGGGAGACAGAGGCGGTTGCTCTTAGAGAGAAAGAGTGCTTTAGTCCAGTGTTGCGTCGGTGGCACCCAGCCTCGGCAGGGGTGGCGGCCGCCGCATTGCATGGATGCTACAGGGCGGTGCTGAAGCAATACTTGGGTGGAGTGGCCACTCTCACACCAGAGGCTGTGCAGGTGCTGCAGGCAGCTGGGCGGCTCGAGAAGGCGTTAGTGCAGATGGCAGTGGAGGACTCGGCAGAGATTGAGGATGGCGGCAAGGCCATCATTCGCGAGATGATGCCCTACGAGGCAGATTCTGTCATCGAGGATCTTATGCGAAGCTGGGTTCGGGAGCACCTCTTTAAGCTCAGGGAGTGCTTAAACCGAGCTAGGGAAGGAGAGGTATAGAGTTCGGACCTGAATATTTTGATAGATTTCAGCAGGGTGCCTTGAAAGCCTTAACAATTTCTTCTTTCTTCCAATCTTAGACATGGAATCCAAAGTCGAAGAATGAACCTTATGCACAGTCGGCTGCAGAGTTGATGAAGCTTACAAAGGACACAGTGGATGACTTCTTTGGAATACCGGTGGTCTTCTTCGACGACCTTGCACAAGATCTTGCCGACGGCATCGATTCTGTTCTGCAGGACTACACCTCATTCTTATCTGCCGGTGGTAAGCTCTTACTTTTTAACTAGAATTCCATTCAAATAATTTGAAAAACTTTAAAACTAGGATGTCTATTAAGAGGAGAATTCTCATATAAAATTCTGATCTTCATCAGTCATGCAATGTTTTAAGGAGTAAGTAGCCTAGGTTAAAGCTATTACTGCCCTTGTTTCAACCTTTGTTATGCAATAATAAGGATTTATGAGTGGTAGACTAAATCTTCCCATGGGTTTTATATGGGAAAGCATGCAATTAACTTAAATCTCATTCACGAGGAAAGCTAATCTCCAATGCTCCCAAACTGCTATGAGAATTACTAACCTTAATTAAGTTCTGATTAGGTTAAACCTATTATCGGTATTCAAGTTTGGCTTGTAATACATTTGCTTTGCCAAAATGCTGAAAATGATGCATCAAGAGTTCTGGTATGTCAGCTGAGATAAATTTACCACGAGGGTAAGTGGCGGGACAGGAACCTTGGCATCATGAAACTTGAACACCCTGTTTCTTATACATAAATTGTGATAAATTTGGAGAAACGAACACGGTATCCTAAGTGATTTAGGAAAAGCAATCGGGATCGAAAAATTGAGTCAAATCTTGGTTTCTGATATGGATCACTCGTTTTGGGGAATACAAAGAACTGACAAGAAGGAAAAATAGAAAACTGGAAGAATCGGGGTGATTTCAAGATTCCTTGATCCCCACCTCCCAATCACCATTCGAAATGTGTGATTCGAGTTTGGGTCGATGACTTGCATAATACGGCTTCCGTCCTCTACCATGATGAATTTGTCTTGCCTACATCATACTTTAGAACACATACACTGGTATCCCTTAATGCAAATGATTTTCTTTACTGGCTACACCCTTAACATGCTTCAGTGATTCTCAAGTACTTAGACATTTATATCCCTTGATGCAAAAGAAAATTGATTAGGGTCACTTTTTAAATAGTTTTATGTCATTTATTAGCAACTTAATGAAAATTTCTGGTTAATGAGAAGAATTTCTATTCGACATTATCTTGCCTTTGAATTTGGAGATAGTACTTTTACATTTTTCATGACATCAGATGTTGTTACACATTTACTTTCCCAAATTTTATTTGGACAAATATGTTTCAGCCGAAATCTAGGTCACGTATGCTGAATGAAATACACAAAAAAGGAAAAACTCAAACCATTTATTATTTCTCCATACCACCAGGCACTAAGCACAACTACATTCCTGCTCTTCCCCCTCTCACCCGGTGCAACCAGGACTCTAAATTCCACAAGCTATGGCGAAAGGCCCTCCCCTGCCATGCAGGCCACGACTACCGCTACCATCGCCAGCACTCCTTTGCTGCCGAAAGTGTCAATAGCAGCAATAATGGAAATGGCAATGGCAATTGCGGCCTCCACCCTCGCCCTTCTACTAGCCGTGCCACCCAACGCCTCTACATCCGCCTCAATACCCTCCACTTCATCCTCTCCCAACTACAATCCCTAGACAAAGCCTTGTTCTCGGGAAGAAGATCCAAGGCGCTCCCCCACCACCACCGCCACAACCGCCTTGCCTCCCCACACCTCGGTGCCACCCGTAACTCCATTCATGTGGCCACCCTCCAAGTCTCTGAGGCAGCCGCCTACAGGCTCATCTTCCATGACTCAAGCTCAGTGTTTCTGGAGGGCCTGTATGTCCCAGATGTATCTAATGCACGCATTCGCCCAACTTTACGTGCTCTGAAGCAGAATCTCATGATGCTGGGAGCCATCATTATGGAGGCAGCACGTCCAGGGGCTGTGCGAGAGGTGATGCGTGCCGCCTTTGAGGCATTCCTGATTGTGCTACTGGCAGGGGGACCCGGTAGGGCCTTTGCACGCTGTGACTTTGAGATGGTCGAGGAGGACTTCAGGGCCTTGAAGTCACTGTTCTCTAGCGGTCCTGACGGTTTGGCAGAGGAAGTAGTGGAGAAGGAGGCAGACACAGTTCAAGCGGTGTTACCTCTGCTAGGCCAGGGCTCTGATCAGTTAATTGAGGACTTTGGGGTGGTGGCATGCGAGGCCAGTGGGTTGGGGCTGGCTGCGGGGCAGAAGCTCCCGATGCCTCCAACAACCGGACGTTGGAACCGGGCTGACCCAAACACAATACTCAGAGTTCTATGTTATAGGGACGATGTGGCAGCTGATCGATTCTTGAAGAGGAGCTTCCAGTTGCCAAAGAGGAGATGAGGAGGGATGGGTCCTTGGTAGTTTCATCATTTGTCAGGGGAGAGAGGTTTAGGAGGTGGTTCTACTAGTGGTGCAATTGTGTTAGAGGATCTGCATATTATGGCGCATATCTCATCGAAGCATTATGGTTATAGGGTTGTCACCGTACATCAATGTGATGGACGATTATGGTCCAAAAGAAGCCTGTCCATTTCGCATTAGTGAAAAATAAGATGAGAACTACACTCCAACCATCACCATTTGAACTAATGATGCTATGGTAATAGCCTCCTATGGCCATTCTATTTCGCATGTGACATAGTCATGGTATTTTTACCTACTTAAGATGTTGATTTTGACTCCCCTGTCTTGGATTGTGCTCTGTAACTTTCAGGGAAGATGGTATATTTTTTTTCAAGGGTTTCAATTTGTTGAACTAACAAATTCATGTCTTAATCTTTTAGAAATGAAATTTATCTAAAAACTATTTGTAGATGTTATGGGATCTCAGAAACTATTGCAGAGACTAGTTATCTCCTCCAATTGGTCTTAAAAGATCTAAAAGTAGCATCACTTGATATGCCTGATAGTATGAGGTAAAAAGAACTTAGAAGAGCCCTGCTTGACAACCTTGAGACCCTCTTAAAAGGATTTAGTTGCAGCCTTTCACATAGAAACTTTAGGGTAGCAGAAATTACATTTAAGATTGAGAGCTACTGGAGCATTTAAAATGAGGGGATTGGAAGCATCTTCAAATAGATTTCTTGTGGGGAATTGCTGGTTTCGAATTTGAGGACATCCAAAGAGATGATGTGATGATCTCTTCAATTATCAATAAGAATTCCTCAATTACCATGACTATTACTGGTTTTCTTGCTGATATCCAGAAAGGAAATTGGTTTTATGTCATCTATTAATATGATGAATAAAATGATTTCATTCTTGATTGGCAAGACGAATTTTGGAAGGAAAAAACCTCGTCGACATAAAGTTCCCTGAGAACTTCTAACATTTCTTTTGGAAGATCATATTTTTCCTGCTAAAGATAACCAAAAGTAGAAATCATGAAGAAATACCCCATTTTTCCACTTGGAAACAAAAAAAAAAGTAAAATAAAGAGAAACCAAAAGCTATTTCAATAAATTATATATAAGCATCTACTTTCCTCCTTTCATTTCAATGATTCTGCTCAGATAGAATGGAGCTACGAAAGGGCCCTGCTTAGTAGCTGCTCTAAAGGTGCATATATCTATAATCTAAGCTCCAAATACCCAACCCTAGGTTAATAGGAATCAAGAATAAGTTATACTAGAAAAGCCATTCTTCAACATATTCGATCTCTAAAGCTGTAAATCAAACCCACAACACTAAAAATATGTTTATCAGTGAAGCTACAACCCTTGTAACACCAGATATGAAGGCCTGTGCACCCACAAACATATGCACGGGGTGTAAATGCTAAAAGCAGACTACTTGTTTAAGATCTCATGAAACTTCACATTGAACTAGTTGAACTTCACATTGTTGATAGGCTTAAAACCATGAGACAGAGTAGTAGACCACACTTTCTCAACATCTAGTGTCATGTTTCCACACTCATGAGAGTCCCATCCTTCCAATGCATGCACAATCCCGGCTACGCGCCATGCACTCATCACCCTCCTTGGCAGCCAGTTCTACAATCAAAAGAAATTAACTTAACATGGAGAGAACTGCAAAAATTCTGCATAAACTGTATGCAACATATTTATTGAATATTCGACTTTTGTTTATTTCACAAAATGTTGCCCATAGCACTAAAGAGGTCTGCAACTTGCATGTCATTTTAAAGATGTGCTAATGAAGTGTATTTTTAGTTAATTGACAGATAAGGAAAACATTGGTATAAGCAGCATTGCCTTTGATGATTTTTAAAACTTAAGAATAATATCATGAAATCGAAAGGGAACCAAATGCTTTTTCAGAGTTCGGATTCTGGGCTTAGTGGTTAGTATTAGTGTACGATGTCTAATTTTTGTGATGCATTATGATAAGCAACAATCAACTAAAGTTCAATGTTAAATTTCAATGTTTAATGATATTTTAAGGTGACAATAAATCATGAAATTCTATACTCAGTGTTCTTGTTCTTATGTCACAACTAGAAGATAGAAGACAGCATTCCAATGACCAAATTAGTCTCTATAAGGACATCAAACACATTAGATCCTCATAACCCCTTTACGGCAATATGAAGGGCACAGGGTGATTTGGCTGGTTGAGATAGAGAGAGAGACGGCAGAGATACCTCGCACGAGTGCACATCTTCAAGAGTACGCGGAATGACCAAGGCAGGAGTTGTGTGATAAATACAGTCTTCACGCACAGCTCGAGGTGGGAATTGGGTGAAGGGAATGAAAAGTGTGCCCCTATTGGCTCTACTTTGCTCCTCTGCCCTTAGATCCTCTCCCACCAGCCATACCTGCAAATGTTTCTTCCTTGTATCAGACGAGTTAAAAGAAATGTTGTTTTCAAATATAATTTGAAATGCTACTATTTTGTCACCAACAAAGAAATGAGATTCTAGAGCTTATGGAAGTTCATAGTTGAAACTTGAAACTAACAAAAATCAGCTGAAAGGGCAAATAAGTCTTGAGTCTCTACCTATACTTACTTAATTTCAGTCAATTTTGTAATTAAAATCAGGTATAATTGCCACAAGTATGATTTTAATCACAAAATCAGGTAAATTTGCCACCAATATGCCGACCCCAAATAATTGGGATAAAGCTTGGATGATGATAATTGCTGCTAGTATTCAACAGACGCTTGGTAATAGCAAATTATAAAGATATCCTCATCATCTTTCAATTATTCATTTCTATTTTTTTCCTTTAGTAATAGCAACATTTACGTTATTATCTCAAAAAATAACAAAAAATGATTTGAATCCTCACCTTTGTATCATAATTATTGGAGAGTGAAATGCCACTTTGATACTTAGAGGGGATCCTCATTTTCAGGTTCTCATACTCTTCAGTGCGAATCACGACGATCTATTCCATTAAATTCATCAGTATAGAAGTTGTATTTATATTTAGTAATGAAGAGTTGGGGTTAAAATATGGTTTAGTCAGCGAAATTAGTATTATGGTTAGCACCTTAGTCCTCCTCTCCAATAATGCTAGAGCAGTTGTGAACAGTGTCTTTGTAAGGCATCCTCTGATAAGAACCTTCTGTGTTCCATGTGGGATGCCATTGAGGACCGTGGCAGCGCTTAGCGTGCTCCCATCCACAATCCTGGTCTTGAGTTTTTCACGATTGTGGAGGTAGAGCTCCCCATTCTTATTGAACTCCTCTCCCTGTGCAAAATTTCAGATGCAGTCATTCAATATTGTAATTCTTATTCCACTCCTAGTAAAAGTCTTTTTAACTTCTCTCCCTCTACAAATTTTGATGAAATATCATTTAACATAGAAAATATCATAATAAGTTTTACTATCTCGAGAATGTCTGAACTAATGTTTGCAAACTCGGCCCGTCTAATTTGGAACCGGTCGGTCAAACCGAAACTGGGCTCTGGCCGATTTAGTTTAGTTGGTTTTGGTGGTCGGGTTGGGTATTTCAAAAAACAATTCAAAAAATATATAAAATACTAAAAAATAAGCGATTAGTTTATAATGTTTTTTCATTTTATATTTTTAGCATTTTGACAAATGTCGGAAAGTTGATCCATATTAAAAATCCAAATAAGATAGAAAATATGTCTAAATGATGGATTTAGAAAAAGTTGATCTATAGTTGGAAATATTTCTGAAAAAAAGGAAATAAAAGAAAATAGGACATATGACAAATAAAAAATAAAAAAAATTAAAATTACATATAAAATATTTACACATTGATTTCACAAAAAAATAAATTTTTATAAATACTCCATATGCCAATTCCGAGTAATTTGCCAAGTTGCTGCCTGTAAATTACATGCACTCGTTAGTGAATTGAGAAAAACTAAATAACAATGTAATTTTTAATTCCGGAAAGGGTAAAGTTAAAAAAGGCGGAGAAGAGGGTTTACTCTGATAGCTCATTGCTGATTAGAGCTCGACCAATGGCATAATGGTTTTAATAATGGAATTGAACTAGGGTTTGAATGCATGAAAAGGATCGTGAATTAGGGTTTCTAATGAATTACTACTTAGAAAATCATAGAGCGGTTTGTTACTGGCGTACATCGGATCATCCTAGCAGACCAAATTTAACCTTTGCAAACTGTATCCGAGCAATTATTTTTTTAACACTTGTTTTCAGGAAAGGTTTTCTTTTATCTAAACATTTTTCTTTTATTTGAGGAAAAAGTTTATATAATGATGCAACCTTATAATTTCGAACTACAGATGCACCTCAAAAATCCATCAGAGAAAGGTAGTTTTAATGTTGAAAACCCTTTTGATTGATCATCTCGACATCGAGATGTATGACCATGAAAAGATTTTAAGTCTCAGAAAATAGTGCATTTTACAACATATTATCTACACCGTCCATTTTTAAGATTTTCATATGTTTATAAATTTAATTGATTTTAACCAATTTTTAAATTTAAAATTTTATAATTAGATATAAAAATAGATTTTGAGATAATCCTAAGAATATTGTACATCAAAATTATATACCATGATAAAATTTGAATGTGCACCTTACCTCTACAGCTATGGATGCATCCATATGGCAACTGCACCCTTTATTTGATGGGTTTTTTGAATTTGATTATAAAAATGGTGAGCTAATCTATGATTGGATAAGTTTTGTATAAGGCGCTCATCTTAAATAATCAAAGGATGGTGCTCTCTCAAACTCTATTTAAAAAAAATACTATTATGCATTGGAAACCTTAAAATTTATGTTCACCTCTAACTATAAAATTTACAATTTAAAAGATAATACAGATTAAGCAAATCTATAAACACTTGTATATCTGAACTAGATGAGCTATTATTTCCATACTTTGTTTATTCTTTATTTTTTTTTGTTGGGGGTGAGTACATAGCATTGAAAACTTCAACTAATAAGCAAATTATATCCAGGATCTATTCCTAAAAAAATCCAACCATTTCTCAATTTTCTTCGGTCCGGTGTTTTAGAACTTGAAATCATATTTTGGCTCTTTAGTGAACCGATTGGGATTGGCCAAATCAGGAAAAACAGTAATAGAAAATTAAAATAGGTGGGTATTGGACAATTCCAAGTGCCAAAAACCCGAATCGCCCACCCACCAAATTTGATTCGGATTGGGCTACTTTGATCCACATGGACGTTGTTTAGAACATTGCTTCCATTGAATGGAGAGACGAAGGCACACAAGCAATGAATAATCCTAGAAACTCACACAACATGAGGGGCTTTGCCCCTAATGGCCTAATGTCTGGACCTTTCATTCTCACATTGTAACTTAGGTTATCCCAGCTTATCAAAGCCAAGGGGAAGAAATGAATAATGTCTGAGGAGTTGAAGATTGTATACTTAGTAGAAATAATTTTTACCTGGTTAAGAAGCCCTAGGCTTATTACTTTCACACCCATTGCATCAGCCTCAAGTATAGCTTTCTCTATCATGTTGTTGATGGGTGCCTTTTGCCATTTTAGCGAGTACTGCGCATAAACTGTAACTGTCACTGAAACTATACAAAGCGAGAGAAAAAAAATAAAAAATAAAAGGCACCATGTACCATAATAACTTATTCAAACCTAGTTTTCCTAATACCTGCATCTAAAGCATCAAATTAAGTGTCATAAATTTTAGAGAAATTTAGGGACAAATTAAAAAGATTTTTCTATTAAAGAATCATTGATTTTTTTGGAGATTCTATAGTGAGGTCTTAAATTTTTGGGGTTATATTTTCTATTTGTATTTTCCCCCGGGTAAGAATTCAAAAAACCAAACACAAAATTTTGATGTTTGGAAAGTTTGGAAGTAGGGCTTTTGAAACGCCAAAAACAAAAAGACTAGGTGTTTAGGCAGTTTGAAAATCCAACTTTCTATTCGCTCTAGTTACAAGAGAAATTAAGTATTTAGATGGTATGAAAATTCAACTTTTGAAAGACTCACCTATCCAAATACCGTTCATCTTTTTTCCCGTAATTTGAAAGTCCTACTTTGAACTGCCCAAACACCTAACTTTTTTGTCTCCGAGTGGTTTGAAAGTTGCAATTCCAACCACCGACGTACTTAGTTTTCTTGTGCTGGGCAATTCGAAAATCCTTCTTTCATACCTTGGGTAAAGTAGGAATAGATTAAACCTCAAAAATTTAGGACCTCAAGAATAAATGCCCAAAAATATAAATCATTCTTTAACACAAAAAATAATTTTTAGGGTTGTACGTAAATTTCTCTAAATTTTATTTATCAAAGTTTCACTTCTCCGAAGCTCAAATTAAGATTCATGAGCTGATAATGCTATTAACCTGGTTTAGAATTTCTGTTCTGGTCACAAATTATTAAGGAAGTTAACAATTACCTGAAAAGCTAACTTCAATTAATTGAGAAAAAACAATGATGATGATATGAATAATTACCTGAAAATTATATCTTGGGATTGCCCAAGTTTGCATTTTGTGCTCATATAGTTTGTTCTTCTCAACTACAAAAGTGCAGCCAAATATCCAAGTGACCAACATCAAAACAAAGCTAAGTGGGCACATCAACCACAAATACCATTTTGAAGAGTAGGGCTCAGCTGCTAAGTAAGCAAACCCTAGACGAAGATGGTAAATGGAGTGAAGGCTCGTTGGGTGGGTCAAGTGGACCACATCTGTTGTATCCTCCCTTCCCTCTATGGAGCTTTCATACACCGAGTCTGTGGTCTTGTCCACAGTATTATACATGTAATCATATATTGGCATGAAGAGTGAGAAATTGGTGTGCACTTGCGAATGGTGTAGGGAGTGATACCTGTTGATTCAAGGAAATATATTTCAAATGTTGACAATGAAATGTATAGAGAAAAGAAGTTCTTTACCATAAATTTGGACCAGCTCATAATTAGCGTATTTGTATATGGTAAAGATGTAATTTTTTCTATCCCACTCCTATGGAGTCCCATTTATATTAGTGTGATTTATGTATAGATACTAAATTTTTAAAATACGTAGTGCTCCATTTATACGTGGAAATTACAAAGATAGTCGGTGAACCCTGCTTTTTTTTTTTTTTCAAAATTTCCCCTCATTGTGAGGATAAAAACCTTTGTTTGAATTTATATATTTATTTTAATTTTTTTTTTTAAGTTTTTTTGTTGGTAGGGTAGTGACCCAAGCTTTAGGATAATGCCCTATTAACAAAAAAACCTTAAAAAAAAAAAAATTAAAATTTGGTTTGAGGATGTCATTGGATTGAGGGGTAATTTTAAAAAAAATAAAAAAAAGTGGATTGATCAACCTTCTTTATAACTTCCACCTATAAATGGAGCCTTTTGTATTTTAAGAAATTTTTTAAGATATATGCATTAATCACTCTTTATTATTAATCCAATAAGGGCATTGACTGTCACATCTTTATTTAAGATGGTCGAGACTGATCCTATTGGAGCCCACTTGGACCTGGTTGAGAACTGGGGGCGATTGGACTGAGCCTGAGTCGCTTGGGCTTGGCAGCCTGGTTAGCCCTTGGGCTCAGAACTATTGACATGGAAACCAACCGAGTTTGGCGAGGTCCCCTAAGTTATTTATTTGTTTTGGTTTGGCTCAGCCGGGGGCCGAGTCTACGATAGACTTGGTTGAACCTGTAAACAAGGCTCAAGCTCGGGCCCCTCAGAGTTCCAACTGGAGTAAATGTTTTACTACAATGATTGGGACAATCACCAAGGTACAAGTGAAAAGTGATCTCCACCGTCGGTCGTGAAACATAAATGGTGTTTGCAGCATCTGACCGATCCCAAGATAGCTCCCTGATTTATTGGACAGTCCCAAGTATATAAAACCAAAAACAAAAAACTCGTCCAATGTTGAGAGCATCAAACTGAGGGTCAAACTAAAAAAAAAAAACTGGGAGATGGATATGTGGGTAAATTTTGACAAAATTTGGACCTTCTCGTCGTTTTGAACCTTTCTTCATGTAAAGGCATAATTTTTCCTATCCTATTATAATTTTCATCGAAAAAAAAAAAAGTACCCCCGATAAATATTTCTACGAAAATACATACTTCACTAATATCACATTTCATTGACAGGTGACATCAATCGCGTTATATCTCAAGTTCGATTCCTACCACTGAACTACTCGACAAAAAAAGAAGTCCAAAGGTTTAAGGCGGGAGAGAGACTTACGATGGAGTGTAGATGAGGTATTTAAGAGGAGGGAAGATCTTGAACGTCCATTTTGGGAAGAACTCGAAGTTACAATGACCCATATTGTTCATGAAATCTATGAAGGTCATGTACCCAATCAGCACAGTGTAGGAGGCAGTGTAAGTCAACACCGTGGCCAGGAATGGAACAGCAAAGATGAGGGCATACAATATGTGCTCTGCAAATGGGTGCACAACAGCTGCATCCAACGATCCATAATCCACCACGTGTCAGCATCTAATGGTCGGGGTGAGAGAGAATAAAAAGGGCCAAATGCAGGGTATAAAGGAACCGAACTTACAGGTGATTGGTTCAGTGACAAAAGAGGAATGGTGGTGAGAATGATAACGAGTGTAAAGGAAATGGTGGTGTAATGCCCTGTGAGCCCAATAATATATGTACTCCACAGGACCAGCATGGCAGAGGACTGCAATAATGACTCCCTTTGTGTTCCACAGAGGTAAATTCTGAGCTCCAGGGAGAAACAGCTCGCCTATATAGAATATTATGGCATGAAGAATTGCTTGATCATCCCTGTACAAGAGCCAAAAGATTTAGTTTGTTAGTTAGAGAGAGTGATGTGTTTGAAGTCACACGGAGAGATAAATTATAATATTTAGTTGAGAGTTCAAAAAATCGACTCGGACGAGGTGAGTAACTTGGCCGAGTTATGTCGTGTTTAAAAAGAAAGGGAATAACATAAGGAAATAAGATGTATATGTATAACCGGATTGTATACTATGAGACCATTTAGAGGTCACAATTACTCCGTACCATTAGATATCAAATCGGATGGTTTGGGGTGTGTTACGATGTCTAAGAACATTTTGTTTGAACTTTGAGTCTAGTTAATGACATGTTCACAACTACTCAATTTGAAATCTAAATGATAAAAATGATTGTGATCTCCTTGTGGTAAAAGTAAATAGTCTATTTGTATAATTTTTCATATATAATAAAATGGAAAATTGTTTCATGTGGGCTGGGACCGCATTTTTACAATATGGGATCCCAAAGTATAAAACATCCATCTTAAAAATGGATGCAATTAGGTGGTCCATCTAAAAACAATTGAAACTGACTGTCCAAATGTTCTATTAATAAAATTATTATTTTTAATTTTTAAAATTTTATTTTTTTCATATTCACAATCTCCATGTTAGAGATTACATGTCCTTAAAAATTAAGTCCAAAACTCCATCTCAAAAATAGATTTTTAAAATGTGGCTCATTTCTACATGGACTCATAGAAATTGTGTCTTAATAAGATACCTACTCTTATGATAACTGCCCATTGCCCACCATTTTGAGCCAACTAAGAGAGAGCTTTTATTATAGTCGCATATATATATATATATAACTCAGTAAATAATACTCGAGTCGCCCATAGGCCAAGGCCGAGTCTCCACGACCAAGTCCAAAAACACTGATTTAGTTAGATAGAGAGAGAGTAGAAGATTCAGTGTGAGAGAGAGAGGTGTGTTTGAGGCCTACCAGTTCCTCTCTCTATCGACTTGCTCAAAGTCTATGCCTCGGCTTTGTATCCTATGCTTGCTTCTTGCAGTTTGAAAGCGAGAGAGTGTGATCCAAAGTTGGTCATGGATGATCCTGGAGAGAAAGAGACCCAAGGATATGATGGTTGCGTGGTCTCTCTTCTGTTTTTGTGCGCCATATATTCTGTACACCGCATGGATAGCGCATGGCACGATCACCATATACTAAACAACCGGGGGACCATGAAAAAGAATCGATTCGTTAGCTCAAAGAAATTTGAGAGGCATATGATTATTTATGTAATCATCTTGGAAATTAGACGCGGGACCATGAAAAAATAATCTATTGGTTAGTTCTAATAAAATGGAGAGTAAGAATAGTGTTGTGTAAAGAGAGAGATTGTTGTGTGAGAGAGTAGATAGTTCATCAAATCATTCTCTTTTATTTTCAGACAAAATATCAATAAAATGATCATGCACCTCAAAAAAAAAAAAGAACAAAAGAAAAAAAAGACTGGAGGGTCAAATTATTTTACAAAATCATTAGTAGTGTCAAACCGTCTTGTTTACCATTGCAAGTGATTTTGTTTAAGTTTCATTTTACTCAAGTACATCGTAAAAAATATAGTGAAAGATTAAAAAAATTGCTCCGGCTCAAGATTGAAAACCTGAACAACTAGTGAGTATCTTGGCAATTTAGAGTCCACTTATGCAGCCTGCGCCAAATGATGAAATATCCTTAACGGCAAAAATGCTCATGATTATTTAGGATTAGCAAATCTTTCTCACTATATCTTTATGTGGCTTAGCTTATGATAGTCCTATGATTCTCACCTCTGAAACGTTTAGAAAACGGCCATGCAATCATTTGATCACCATCAAATCATTTGTTCTAAAAAACATATTAGAGATATGAAAAAAAAAAAAATAAAAAAAAGAAAAAAAGAAAGAAAGAAAGCAAACAGAACTCTATATAGAACGCTTAAGCACTAGAGAGAATGGCTGAGGAAAAGATGATAAGTACTACACAAAACCAATATCAAACAACTCAAAACCAATGCTAAGAGGCCAAAAATATTCATGGTAAAGATTACTACCTTGAAATTTCCAAGCTTCTTCCATGGCCAATCAGTTAGGGGCCCTGGTTTGGACGCCATAGCTATGTTCTATGCTCCAGCACTATGAAAAGAATAACAAAGCATGACCTTTGGCTTTGGAGCTAGGGTTTATATAATCTATAACGGGTTGGTGATAAATAAATATGATACGAACAAAACCTACAAAACAAGGTATAAAATTTAAATTTCATATGCCTTTGTGGACTCCAAGAACTTAAAAAATAATTGCACATGGCCCGCCCTCTTTAGGTGATTTCCATTAGGAGTAAACTGTGTTTAATAAATGACTCTGTTGGTTGGTGAAAGAACACATACAAGGATAAAGAGGGTTGAAACAAACACTCTATTCAATATGCCCTAAATTTAGGAAGGATTTATTTTAGGGTTTTTTCAGTTTGGACTTTGGACCGTCGAAATGGAAACCCTAAACCTAAAGATGAAGTTGAGGAAAGTGTGATGTGTGAGGCCTGTAAGATGGTTTATATGTGGCATCTCTATTTATTGGGCCATGAGGGACTTGCTTGATATGGGTTAGGGGTTACTGGGAACTACGCATAGGGTACATGGAAATGGAAAATATGCAGTGTGAGGACCACCCTATATTATGAACTGAACAACACACACACACTCTCTCTCTCTCTCTCTCTATTTTAATGTTATATCATTAGTGGCACATATGGTATGCTCCCTCGGGCTTATCTTTACTGGCTTGGTCAGATGACCTACTTGGGAGGATTTTTTCAATCTGAAAATCTGGAAATCACCTAAGAATCATTATAAAATTATTTTCAAAAGAAAAAGTTTGAAATTTGAGTTTTCTAACACTTAGATCTCACCATCTAGACATTAGATGGTCAGTATTCAATCTCGAAATAATATTTTTTTCAAGTGCATAGAAGGTGCAATTAGGAAATTTATTTTTATTGAACTTAATCTATGAGTTCAAGAGATTACAATTCAAAATTTGAAGTCCTAGAATTATTTCTACTTAGGTTTTATTGGAGGGAGTAAATAGACAGAGTACTCCCGCAGGAGGTGTACCAAGATGTGGCTCAGCCCTTGTCTCCTCTGTCTCTACCCTTAAATGTATGTGAAAGCTACTTCATCAAGTATACTAGCTGTGCTTCTTGACGTAGTTCACCTCTATTTTAACTTTTGCAAGCCGGACTATCTAAGGTTAAGTTATTTATTTCATCATTAGTATTATATATATTTTAAAATGTCAACTTTATGAATGTTAAATTATCAATAATAAATTATTATTATTTTAATTAATTATTTTTTCTGATTTTTGTAGTTCAGCCGTTAAGTTCGATTCCTACACTTGATCTACCCAGATATGCTAGTGTCTTAGTGTTCTCCTAAATTAATTAGAGATCAAATGATGGATCATGCCACGCACTAATT